GTGTTCATCCAGCCCTGCACCTTGTTGACAATGAATCAAAGCTGTATAATTAAAATGGTTCAAAACCTAACAGTTTGAGTCACATAACTTGGGGTCAGTTTTCACAATTAACACAATTGCTTTGATAACTCCTTGCCTAAACTTGCTGTGTGTTACTGAAGATATTTTAGTAGCTATTAGCACCAAGTCAGGCATAATGAGTTTTGATGAAGGGTTCGAGGAAGGGTCACCGGACGAGAAACGTTAACCCTGATTTTTTTTCTTCACAGATGCTGCCAGATCTGCTGAGCTTTTCTAGTACTTTCTGTTTATGTTAATGAGTTTTGATGGCTTTGTTTCAAACCAATCTCATCTGTGGTAACACATTGTTTGGGATTTTGCTTTGTGTTGCCTTGGTTGGGATGTTCATATGAATAGAATGTGTGACATTCCAGAGAGATGATGGGCTAGCTTTTTCCCTGGTTATTGTTTGAAATTTGTCGTGTTTCCATTACAGCTGATGGCAATATTGGACAAGTCAGATTGCAAAGTGTAAACCAGGTTTACTGGATCATAAATTTAATTTTTGCAGATTTTTACTATGATGGTTAGTAATTGAGCATATTCACCTGAAGCTGCCATTTCTTTTTACACAAGAATACAGACTTACTAGACAAAGAAAGCAACCAAAACTTTATATGTGACACTTCCGAAAGATCTTAACATAAACAACAAAGCAAAGCTTTAAACAAAAACAGAAATTGGTGGAGGTCTCAGCAGGTCTGGCAGCATCGATGTAGCTAAGATCTTAACGAATTAAAGATTTATTGTCACATATCTTGAAGATACAGTGAAAAGTATTTTCTCTCACAATCTGGCGCCGTTTTGAGTTACAATAAAAATAAGAAATTACTTAAATAAGAGTTCATTTCTGCTCAAATTGCTAGTTTCAAGCATGGCCTGAGGGCTTCTGTGAGGCCTCTGCAATGTGTTCAGGTCCTCCAGGTGTCCCGCTCTAGGGACAGCAATCATGACACCAATTCCCCAGGGAATCTCTGCTCAGCTGCTGTCGCCAGGATTCCCTGCTCTGGGAACTGCCACAACCAAGGATCCAGGCTCAGGGCACTGATGCTGCTGTCGCTGGGGAGGTCCAGGCTTGGGACACTGCTGCTGGGGTTCCAGGATCCACTGCTACCATCGCTGTGGGTCCACACTTGGCACTACTGCCACCGCCATTGGGGGTCCAGGCTTGGGGCCTACAGTAATTTGCAGTGAGATGCATTTCAGAGCGCTAGAAGCGACATACATATACACTCAACACCTTATTTTCTGTAGGCAAATGGAACTTGTACATACATTTCACCTCTTTCAAAGTCTCTTTCTTCCATCCTGATTTTGATGAGTGCAAAATAAAAGCTTAAACTTCTAGATTCTGGACTGCCAAGTATTTCTTTCAAGTGAAAAGCTGAGACAGATGTTTGGGTGATACCATTAGTGATGTCCTATCAATATAGTATATATGCATTATCCCAATTCTGTTTTCTGTTTAGTACTTGCGTAGAACATAGAACAGTGCACGATGTTGTGCCAAACATGACACCAAATTAAAGTAATCCCTTCTGCCTGCTCTTGGTACATATCCCTCCATTTCTTGCATGTTTATGCGCTTATCTGAAAGTCCTTTTAAATGCCCCTATTGTGTCTGCAATTCTGCAATTCACAGCTTTTTGTGATTATTGTAGCTTTTGTGTTCATCAACTCCTACGTCAGTATAAAACTGTTTAAATGTTTCAAACTTCCTGTGTCTACATTTCTTCATTGTTCCCAGATTATTTTGAAGCTGTTTTTAATTTTTACTTCTTTTATTCTTTACCACCTATAATCAGGTTTGCTTATGTAGTGCTGTCATTTTCTACTTGCACCAATAGATTACTTCCAATTGCATCATTTATAGAATGCTTCCATTGTTACCATTAGCTGAGGGACCATTAATGTTTAGAGAAATCCAAACACTCCATTTTATTGTCACAAGATTTCTTTTTTTAAAAAATCAAAAACTTTACATATATTTTGGTTTGTAGCAAAATACTTCAATTGTTAAATATTAAGTTTTGTAATTCTCTTTTGTAGAATGTTCCCATCCCAACAGTACTTCCTGAGCCCATGACTGCAAGTGAGGCAGCTGCCAAGAAGAGTCAAACAAAAGCTAGGTAATTATGATGCATCAGTCAGGACTGCCAGGAACTGAAAAGATTTCCGATCTCAAGAGCAATTACAATAGTTTACTCAGATCCACATATGGCATTTAAATTGTGGCAATGCCGATGCATTAAATTTCTTACTGGCAGTGCAGATAATGGTTATGCTGTCCTGATTTGTATATAACTTCTGTCCGTAAGGTTGTACTGTAGTGCTGTTTTCTTATCGTTTGAATGTTGCTGTAGAATGCCCACTATGCACAAATTTCCTACTTTTTGAACCTCAAGAGAACTGATTATGGCTTGCTTCCCAAGTGGAAATTTGTATTGGACGGGGGGGGAAAAAGTAGATGAAAGACAGATACATCAAATTCACTTCAGTGGTATGTATTTAATATGTTCATGTTTTAAACTAGTTCATTTTAATAATGTAAAAATCTTCCTGAACTACAGTTGGATGCAAAGTGTGATCAGTACAATGATTGAACAGTTTCTTAGTGTCTATTAGGGAGTTTTTCCAAGAATGTGCATCATAGTTATCTTCGATCCTTACCACAAAATTCCTTCCTTAGTTACTGACTTCATCCCTCTCGCTGGCAATTGTCTAAGATGGTAAACTCTTCATAATTTTTGATGTATTATATCCCGAGGATGAATTTCAAAACACATATTCATGTCATCATGAATACTGTATTTTCACCTCCATAACACGACCTGACTCCTCCCCTGCCTCAATTTATCTGCTATTGCAACCGTCATCAATTTCCTTGTTGCCCCAGACTTCGTAATTCTGAAGGACTCATGACTCGTCTCCAATTTTTTCTGTCTGTACACTTGAGGTCATCCAAAACTTTGCTCCTTGTGCCTTAATTTCTACCAAGCCCTGTCCACTTCTCATTCTGTGCTTACGAACCCATACTGTTGCCTCGTTAAGCAAATCTTAAATCCTAGCCTCCTAGCCTCATAGCCTTGGGCCTCCCATCTCTAATCACCACTTGCCTTGCAGAACTCTAAGGTTTTTTTTTATTGTTTCAACAGTGGTGGCTGTGCCTTAATATGTTAAAACTGGTTCTAGTAGTCATTCCCCACTCTGCCCTCTAACTTTTTAAAAATCCCTCTAAAGTGCTCTTTGAAACCTATTGCTTTGATCAGTCATTTAGCTCATATCACCTTGCATGATTCACTGTCAAATTTTGTTTCATAACTCTCATGTGATGCATGTTGGGCTGCTGTACCACATTAGAGGCATTACTTCTGGTCTGTGCTGTCACACTTGTTGTGATTAGAGTGCAGAAGTGCCCAGATCACGGATCGATGCTGTAGGTATCTCTGACTGAATTGGCCACTATGGATCCACAAGACTGACTGTGACCCATCCCCTGGAATGCAGAGATATGGACCTGTAAATTACGTTACCCCAAACAGATTTTGATGGTGGCCAATCCACTGGACTGGAATTAGAGGCAGCCCTTGACTTGCTACAACCTGTTACCAGTGGAGTGCCACAGGGATCAGTGCTAGGGCCACAATTAATTACCATGTCTACTAAGACTTGGTTGAGGACAATACTATAGGTAAGTTTGCAGATGACATAAAAGTAGGTGGGAAGGCAAGTGGTGAAGATAACACATAGAATGGAGAGGGATATATACAGGTTAAATAAGTAGGCAAAAACTTTACAGATGGCATGTTATGTGACAAAATGTGAGGTTATGCACTTTAACAGGAATAATAGAGGGGCTGAGTATGTTTTAAGTGGAGAAAGTCTGCAGAAAGCTATGGAACAATGAGAATTTTGGAGACCTTGTCCATGTATCTCACAAAAGGTAGCATCTGAGTTTGGGGGTAACAGAAAAGGCAAATGGAATGTTGGCCTTTATTTCAAAGGAAATGGAGCATAGAAGTAGTGAGGTTTTGCTATTCAGACCACAGCCAGTGGACATGATTGATTTGGACTTCTATCATGCCTTTGACAAGGTGCCACTTCAGAGGCTGCTAAATAAGATAAGAGCCCATTGTGTTAATGGCCAAGCACTGGCATGGATAGGGATTGGCGGATTGGCGGATTGGCTGATTGGCAGAACACAGAGCGGGCGGGATGGCAGTCGTGACTAATGGAGTCCGTGTTGGGACCACAACTATTCATGTTATATATAACAGTCTGGACAAAGGAACAGAACATTGGTGCTAAGTTTGCAGTGGTCTTAGGAGACCTAACACACTTACCACACTTCCCTACATCAGGAACATATCGGAACTGACAACAAGACTCCTAGAAATCATGGTGGCCCACAAGCCCACAGCCACTCTACGACAAACACTTGCAAGGACTAAAGACCCCATTCCCACAACATGCAGAACGAACGTGGTTCACAAAATACCATTCAACGACTGCCACAAACATTACATTGGACAGACAGGAAGGAAACTAGCCATCAGAATACGTGAACATCAGGTAGCGACAAAACGGCACGACAAACTCTCCTTAATATTGGCACACTCGGACAATGAAGGCCATTAATTTAACTGGGTCAAAGTAACCATAGTAGCCCAAACCAAACACAGACACGCATAGGAATTCCTAGAAGCAGGGTTCTCCGCCCATACTTCAATCAATAAACATATAGAATTGGACCCCATATACAAACCTGTACAGATCAAAACCGGAAATAACAATACTCACCATAACGGACAGTATAAATTCCAAGTGGAGTAGAATAACAATGCTTCATTGGAGGCTCCACTGATGATGTCATCTAGCATAGGTGATGAAACGTCTGAACGAGAACAAGCCAGCTCAGCGAGGATGTTCAATGGAAGAACAAAAGGAAGAGAGAGGATTGTTGTTGAACTGGGGGCTATTTAGATCTGTGTACGTTTCATGATGATGGTCATGGTGTAGAAACCAGTGAAAGGAGCCAACATGATGATAGTTATAGGAGTAAATCACTTATGAGTGTGGTTCAGCTTCAAGGAGGCTTCTTGAAGTCTAGAAAATTATGTGCTGGCTAAAATAGTTCAAAACTCTTGTTTAATTGAATGACTTCTAAAGGTGAATTGAACTTCGGGAGATAGCCAAGCTGAGGAGAGCATATTTAAGGACTCGAGAGTTACAAAATATTAGAACTATTAGAGTGTTGTTACGATAATAACAATTTTTATGTTGAAATGGGAGAGTACAGTTGAGAGATGGTTAGAGGGGATTTGAAGGGAAAGCCTTGATGAACTAAATGAAACCAAAAAATCTCCAACCTAATACAAACATCAAACTAGTACTCAGTAAGTGTTTAATCTTCCTGTTGTGTATAAGTATATGACTTGAGTTTATTGGTGTATGTGAAATGGGTGTAGAAGAAAAGTTACGCAATTAAATTTAGTTTAGAGAATGTATTCTTACTGCACTTTAAATATCTTTAATGTAACTGAGCATCTTGAGGTTGGAAGTAATTATGACTATCCATGTGCTTTGATTATTTTTATTTGTGTGGAAACAATTATTTTGATTTAAACTGTGAAATTTGTGGCTTCATTCTTAGTAACTACCTAGGTTTTCAGATTTATAAAAGAAAATGTTACTGACCTCTACTGAGATTATAACACTTAGGATATTACTCAGCACCAGCTTAATAGGACTCAAAATTTTTCTCTAATTAGTTGTTCTTTTCTAATATGTTGTCAGTATAAATTCTGATCAGTTCAGAATTTGTTAATTTTCAATGTGCTACAGTCAAATAAGTTCGCTCTGTAGGTATTTGGTTTAGTTAATTACTTTTGATTTAAAAATGTATTTACATCCAAAATATTCATTTCCATACAGGCTAAGTGAGGCTGTAGGACCAACGGAGACATCAATAGCCCCAAGGAGAAGACCTAAAGCCAATAGTGCTGTAAATACAAATGTTTTACCAATCCAGAATACAGTAAATCCAATGAAAACTGTAATCTCAAGTGCCTGTGGAAATCTTGGCCGAAAAGGTAATATTCCATATCTTTCAAATTATGCGCCCAATTTTAAACTAATGTGATAAATTTCATAATTGGAAGCAGCATAAATGTTCAAATCATGAATGTTTTGCATCATATACCACACTATATATGCATTTTGTTATTTTGACACTTGGGTAAGGATGTATAATTTGGAAAGAAGAGTTCTTTCTAGGGAAATTTGCGTATGGTTTAAATCCAGTGAGACACACTTTTTCTGGAGATATGTACAATGTCTATGAAGGCTATATGGCATATTTGTAAATTAGTCCATTGAATTGAAGGCAATTAGAAAAGTATGTTTAGACATAAAAATAGGAACTTACATGGGTTCTAGTGTCTTGATGTGCCTGCTTGGCATTTCTGCTGTTGAGCCAGGAGAGATTTTAGGCAGCAAGGAGGTTCTCTAATTTGTTCTGCAATGTTGATTCTCCATTAAAGGTAGATTTATGGTCTCTACATGTGGAAAAAGCTAGAAACTTCAGCTGTAAGAGAGCCGTCCCTGAAACCCTTTTTGTAAAGGGCTATTTTAAAAATAAGACCTGGGTATTGATCCTGGTACGTTTCTGTAACTCCGGCTGGCCCCCATTTGTATGCCAGCAGAAATGGTTGACCAACTTCTGCTGACCTAGGTGGATCCCGCTGATGGCTGGGAAAGCAGAACCTCTTGACATGAAGAGACTCTGCCTCCAGGATACATTTAGGATGAGTGACCTTCCAATCCCGATAGATTATCGTAATTTACTGACTTGAGGCCAAAACTTGGCATACCTGGTTTCTTGCATGATCTCTGACCTCTCCTGTGGACTCCCACCAGAACCTCTGTCGGGGAATGATAGAATGATTGTGAACTACGTTGAGTAATTGAGTAAAGTACTTGAAGATACTTGAGTTTGTTTTTGCATCCTGACTCCCTAAAGCCTGTCCACCATCTACAAGGCACAATTCAGGAATATGATGGAATTATCTCCTTCTTCTCCCATTTGTCTGGAGGAGTACAGGTGCAACAAAACTTGACACCATCCAGGACTAAGCAGCTCACTTGATAGGCACTGCATCCACAAACATGAACAACGCACCCCCCCTCCCCCCCACCCAAACCACAACCATCACCACCATCAGACTGAGTAGCAGCAGTGTACTATCTACAAGATCATTGTAGAAATCACCAAAGATCCTTGGACAGTATCTTCCAAACCCATGACCACTATCATTTAGAAGGACAAGGGCAGCAGGTAATTGGGAACATCACCACCTTGAGTTCATGCCCAAACCATCCTGCCTTGAAAATATACTGTCACTCCTTCAGCGTCGTGGATAAAAAGCTTGGATCTCCTTCCCTAAGGTCGTTGCGGTTCTACCTACTGCATGTGGATTGCAGCAGTTCAAGAAGGCAACTCACCACCACTTTCTTGAGGCCAAATAGGGACGGCAATAAATGCTGGTCCAGCACCCGTCTTCCCCCGTTTCCCCCATCCCCTGTCCCATGGATGAATAAAAGAAGAAAATTTGGGTTGGATTTCATAATTTCCTCTATGAAGTTAATCTTCTCCTAGCCATAAATGAGTGTGATGCTAAAAGTCCAGTAGTTTGTCCTGTTTTTCCTAAACCTTTGGGTTTACAAAATTCACTCCCCTCTTGTTAGAAATATTAGCAGGGAAATGTTTCTACATTCCTCTTCAGATTCATAACAAAGAGGAACATAAGAATGTCACTGGATAGTGAGATCAACTTATCTATTTCTTCCAACGAACAGCCACTTTTGTCTATTTCCTCTCTTCTTCTTTAGACCTTCTCACAAAGTTTGTAAAGTCCCCTTCTTTCCACTATATGCATAATCTTAGTCTTTTGTTATTGACACAGAACAAGTGTTTTTCTTTCCTGTTGGCATCAGTCAATTGGATTAAATCCAAAACTAATTTTTGGTATTATTAAGCTGTTGAAAGGCTGGTATTTTTGTTGTCATGCTGTTTTTCTCCTGTCATTTTCCTCTTCAGATCCCCATATCTTTCTCCAAACACACAACCAAAGTTGATGTAGAATTGAACGGATATAAAATATTGAGTTCTCTGCCTTTCTGGTAATTTCTGAACAGCTGATTCCTCTGCCATAAAAAGATTAAATGAAAACACGTTTCTCTACAGTATATAATCCACTGTTTTGTAGTTGATTTGTAAAATGTGGTTTGTCACGCTAGGCTAAATTTTATTGTTCCTCGCTAGTACATGTGAAGGCATGTCAAAATGTAGCAGGGGACCTTTCCACTGTATTGCTGCCCAGCCTTGACCTGTCTCTCTCATTTTGAAAGGTAGGGAAAGTGTCAAACAGCCTGTGTGCACTTAGGCCTTCTCAGGCTGTTAAGTGGACAATTAATCCCTCTGCCTGTACGTTAACTCACCCAGCTGGCCACTTGTCCTTAATCAGACTTGGGCTTTTTAAGTCTGTACTCCATTATCATTTGCTTGGGGACTGCCTGTAGTCCCAGCAATGGTCAAAGGTAGGTTCTAGTGCTACTGGGACAACTGAGCTTCTGGTGAGCCAGAAAGTAATAGAAATCCCACTGTTCCCAGTATAATGTTGCTTTGGAGCAGCTGGGTTTTGGCTGTTGGATTAATGGCCAAACTTTTCGTCAGGGATACAGGGAGTGCAGCATCCCATAAAATCCAGTCTATTGGGTAAGTGCAAAACAAACTAAATATTTGGAAAATCAGTGATTACATTGATCAGCTTTTCAATAAATATTTTGTTAAAGTTAAACATTTTGTTAAAGTTGATTAGGTTGCAGATCAATGGTACGTAATTTTGTGGGAGCAGTTCATAGTATTCTTTATATAATTTATTTTGGATTTTTGACGCAACTTAAATACCACTTTTTTATTAGCTTACTATTTGTATAATTTCTCATAGTTGCTGCACAAGCTGAAAATGGACATTTCTTCCATATGGCTCAGGGGACCAATCAACAGCATCATAGGGTCCTGCAGCAGATACAACAAGGAGACTTGAAGCAACATCAACTCCAACAGTTGCAGCAGCAACAGATAATTAATAGCCAGACTCAAAAGGTAGTAGTGTCAAGCATTCGCTTGCATCATTTTAAAAAAATTAAAATCTTAATTTATGATATGCTAATCACTTTCACAGAGAAATAATTTTCAGGCTGCAGCACATCAGAATGGCAAACTGCAGAACTGTGGGACATGGGTTCTATAACAAATCTAATTTACATAATCGCAGGAACATAAATAGCAACATGAGTAGGCCATTTAGCCCCTTGAGACTGGTCCAGCATTCAACTGGATCACAACTGACTTTCTGTGCCATTCATCACCATTGAACAATCCCGACATTCCTTGATTTCTTAATTCTTCAGAATCTCCATCATGAACATACTGTATGACTGAGTTAGCACAAATTTCTTGGGTAGTGAATTTCCAAGACTCATCACCCTCTGAAAAAATATCATCTCAGCATTAAATGGCAAATTTCTTTTCCTGATACAGTGTCCCTGATTCTAGACCCTCACCCACCCTTCCCTGTTTCATTCTGCTCTCCTCCCTCTGCTCAACCACTCCCAAAATCTATGCGCTCACACACACGTGCACGCAACACGTACACACACGTACACATACACCTACATGTACACACCTCAATTCTGAAGAATATGGGCCCAGTCTCCTCAACTGTCCTGACAGAGCAATGTTGCCATCCCATTAATTAGTGTGGTGCACTTTTATTGCACTCCGTCTATGGCGATTACATCCTTCCTTGGATATGGAGACCACAGCTGTATGCAATATTCTACTTGCTGTCTCACCAAAATCATTTAAAATTGCAGCAAAACAATTTTATTTCTGTACTCCAGTCCTCTTGCAATTCAGTCAGTCTTGAACAAGGGCACCCAGATCCTTTTGGGAAGCAACACTTCCCAATATCTCACCATTTAAGAAATACTCTACTTTGTTTTCTTTTGCTACCAAAGTGGATTTTATTTTTCATATTCTATGCCATCTGCCATGTTCTTGACCACTCATTTAACTTTTCAAAATCCCCTTACAATCTCTCTTGGCCCTACTGTCAAAACTCGGTTGGATTCAGTGTCGTCTTATCAGCAAATTTGGAAATATTTAATTTGGCCCCACATCCAAATCATGAAAATACATTTTGAATAGCTGGAGCACAAGCAGTGATCCTTCCTGAACGCCACTAGTTCAAACCTGTGAACGATTTGTTTATTTCTACTGTTTTGTGTCTATTAATCAATCTCCAATCCATAACAGTACCTCCAATCCCATGTTCTCCAATTTTGTTCACTAACCTCTTACTTTCCAAAAGCCTTCTGAAAAATCCAAAGGGACCACATCCACTGTTTCTCCCACATGTATTCTGCTCGTTACGTCCTTAAATTTAAATATGATTTCTATGTCATAAATCCACGTTTACTCTGCCCAATCCAACTGCTTTTTGTAATTGTCATTAACAATTTCCATATGACTGATATTAGGCCTTCAGTTCTGTAGTTCCCTCTTTTCTTCCTCCTTTCTTAAATCGTGGGGTTACATTTGCTACTTTCCAATCTGCAAGAACCATGCCAGAATTATAAAATTTTACAAGATAGCAATGCACCCACTCCTTCCAACACTGAGACGCTGATCATCAGGTCCAAGTGGAGTTGCATTAATTTTTCCAGCATTACTAATACCAATTTCTTTTTAGTTCCTTGATCTCCATCGTCTCTTGGTACTGTTGTATTTCTGGGAGGGCCTTTGTATTTTTAGTGAAGACAGACACAATGTATTGGTTTAGTTTCTCTGCCAATTCATTATTAATATTATTACTATTATTATTATTATTCCTTCCTTGTTTTTACTCCGCATAATGAATTCTCCTATTCTGTGTCTGTAATGGACTCACATCTGTCTTTACTAATCTTTTTCTTTTGTAAATACCTTTTTTGTTTCTCACAAGTTTACATTTCTAATCTATTTTCCCTTTTTTACTGTCTTGGTCCTCCTTTGCTGAATTCTAGAATGCTCCCAACCATCAGACTTGTTACTTTTATCGGTAACGTCATTAGCTTCTTCCTTTGATCTAATAAAACCTTTAACTTTTCTCGTTAACTGTGATTTGATCATTTTTCATGTTGGGTTTTGTGCCTTAATGTAATGTTAACGTGTTGGTATTTGCATTAGTAAACTGTGCACTGATTCTTTAAATGCCAGCCATTGCTTGTCTGCTGTCATACCCTTTTCATGTAGTTTTTCAATCCGTCACACCCAAGTTGCCCCTCATTACTTTGTCGTTTCCTTGAAAATTTGAACACCTAGATTCAGACTGAATTACATCATTGTTAAATTTAATGTAAAATTCTATCAATATTCACTAAGACATCTTTCCAATGAAATAATTAATTAGCCTTTTCTCATTGCATAATTCTTAAACCTAAAGTAGCCCATTCTCTAGTTGCTTCCTCAAAATATTGTGCTAAAAAACTACCTCGTATAATTTCCAGGAGTTGTCCTCCACAGCATTAGTGTTATTTAGATTTACCTTTGGTTTGAAGACCCCATTGATTGCTGTATTACGCTTATCACATGCCTTCTAATTTCCTGATGTGTCATATGCTGTACATTACAACTAGTATTTGATGGCCCAGAAATACTTACCAGCAATTTTTGCTGCTCTTTGATGTTTCTTAGTTACACCCAGCCTTATTTTATAGAATTATAGAATCCCTACAGCGTGGAAGCAGGCTATTCGGCCCATCGAGTCCACGCCAACCGTCCAAAGAGCATCCCACCCAAGGCCCCCCCCAAACCCCACCCCAGACCCTGCATTTCCCATGGCTAATCCACCTAGCTTGCATATCTCTGGACACTATAGGAAATTTAGCATGACCAGTCCACTGAACCTGCACATCTCTTTTGACTGTGGGAGGAAACGAGCACCCAGAGGAAACCCATGCAGCCATGGGGAGAATGTGTGCAAACTCCATACTGACAGACATCTTGATCTTCCAAGCTAGATCCTCCCTGACTAATATTATGATTTCATTGTTTATTAACAGTGCTACCCTGCCTCCTATTCCTTTTGTCTATTCTTCATAAATTTAGAAAATCCTTGAAATTTCTGTTCCCAGCCTTCGTCACCCTACAGCCATTTTTTAAAATGAAAGTAGCAGTCGATGCTGAGAGGATTCATGTTAATCTTATTTTTTGGATGGTTTACTCATCCCTTCAAAAGTTTTATTTCTTCCAAGTCAACACTTAAATCCTGGGTCCCTGGAGTGATGCCTTATAAAACTGCAGGAAAGGGAATGGAACTTGTGCTACATATGTTTATTTTATTAATAGGCTTTAATACATCTTACAATTATTTCTGTGAATCTGTAGTAATTACAGTTTAGAAGTGTTGTACAGCATAGCATCGTAGAGTTATACAGCATGGAACCAGACCCTTCGTTCCATTTCGTCTGCTCCGACTAGATATCCTAAATTAATTTATCCCCATTTGTCAGCATTTGGCCCACATCTCTGTAAACCCTTCCTATTCACGTACCCATCCAGATGTCTTTTTAAGTGTTGTAATTGTACCTGCTCCCACCATTTCCTCTGGCAGTTTGTTCCATACAAGCACCACCCTCTACGTGAAAAAGTTGCTGCTTAGGTTGCTTTTAAATTTTTCCCTTCTCACCCTAAACCTATGCAGTCTAGTTTTAGATTTCTCCCACCCTGGGGAAAAGACCTTGTCTATCTAACCCATCCATGACCCTCGTGATTTTAAGTTTCAGTATACTTTGTAATACTTCCAGGGTTTTGCTTTTAAAATTTACCTTTAGAGAAATCTATTAATTTTATAATAATGGGAGAGTATTATCTTCCACTAGGTTATGAATAACCAATATCAAATTTCAAGTAGAACATTGCTACCTTTCTTCAAAATCTCCAAGCATGAGTGGTTTGATACTGCTGTCAAGATTTAATAATATTATGCATGCTATCCTAAGACCATATTTATCTTCTCTGCTGGTGGAAAACATCTTTACACATTATATTTTTAAGTTTTACTTCAGCGAAGAGATCTCAAGAAATGCTGGTCAAGTGAATTTAAATATGGTCAAAAATTTCATTATGTTTTGGAGTATGACTACATTTTATGCCTTACATTAATGCATGATTTTTAAATTTTTTTTCTTAAGCCTGAACATATTGTTATACTTGGGTTGTGAATAAAAGGAGTGATCGTGACTCTTATTGCTCTATATATAAATTTTCATTCTTTTGACAGTATCCGCAGGCTTTGCAGCCGTCAGCACAGCAATTACAACAGCAACAATTAATGATGCAATCAATGTATTATCAACAGCAGCAAATGCCTCCCTACTCACCTGTGGTAAGAGACTTTTGTAAGGGAGGGATGTATATGGAGAAGTGGGACATTGAGATACTAATCCAAGGATTATTCAATTTACCCTGAATAACTGTGACACTTACCTTTTTTTTATTTGCATTTCAAAGCTAGCAGAACGTTCCTTAGAAATATTGTCAAAGCACTTGTGACTATGTCTTCAGAGTCTGAGACAAAATGCATAGAGAATGTTAACTGTTAATGGTTGTAAGATCATTAATGATCAGAAAAGCCATTTAGTCAATATTATCTCATTAATTGAGATAACTAGGGATCATAACTTCAAAATTGTAAGCAAGAGAGCTTCGAGTGAGATTATGAGAAACTTCTTTACTCGGAGTTGTTAGGATTTGGAAAGCCCTGCCTGGAGAGTGGTGGAGGCTGATTCCATATTAGGTTTCAAAAGGGAGGTGGATATATATTTGCAAGTGATGAATTTAGAGGGGTCCAGAAATAGGACTGGAGAATGGGATGAGCTGGGTAGCTCTTTCAGGAGCCAGTGCAGACATGTTGGGTCGAATGGCCTCCTTCTGTATTGTAAAATTCCATGATACCAGAATTGAGAAGTATACTAAATATCTTGGATTTTAGCATCTAGTTATTACATTATTCAGGTTTTCTTTTTCCCCTCCGTGACTATTTGAAAACCCACTCTGTGCATTTACGATGATGTAAAGGGCAGTTGTTTTATTTGTCCTAAATTTGACTTTTATTAGTTTGAGTATATGCCCATACACTCTTCCAAATTAATTTGGTGAAATTCCAAATTTGTGTTTTCTCTTTCCTTAACTACTTTGAATACCTTTTATAAGCTCATCCTTAGGTATTCAAAATGCCAGTCCAATGGCAACCATGAAATATTGTCAAAAAAACCCAACTAGTTCACTAATCATCTTTATAGAAGTAAATCTACTGTCTTTACCTGGTCTGGCCCACATGTGACTCCAGATCCACATTAATATGTTTACCGCTTAACTGCACACCTGCATCCTATGAACAATTTTAAAGAAAACTTAATTGCTACAAAACTATCGGTCTAAACCATTGTTGTTTTTGCACCTTTCACTATCCTTGTGTTCACACCTTTTTTCTTGCTGCCTATATCCATCCTGTTGCACCATGATAGTCATCAGCCTCCACACTCCTTAAGTGTGGAATAGTTTTCCTAATGTCATGTTGACAGAAACCTGTTTCTCTAACCAAGTCTTTGGTCACCATTCTGACGCTTATCACTTCTATTCCATCTGTTTCCCTAGATTTTCAGTGGAGCTTGTGATTATTATTGAACTCTTATAGGGACTAATTATACTCGTTTTGTTTGACAACAGTTACGTTCAGCAAAAGCCAATTTTTTTTTTCTTTATATCCAGCAGGTAGAACAATATGAACAGGCTTTTGCACAACCTCCGCTTACTGTGCCCCAGCATTCACAATTTCAGTCCTCACCACATGAATACCAAACTACGTCAGTGGCATTTGTTTCTCCGACCTCACCAATATCCCATCAACCTGCTGGCCATCACAGGATCCAGAGTGATGTCTCACACGGTTTAGCTTTTGTGATCACTGGCAATAATCCTTTACAGCCTGTTGGAACAATGACAGTAGAATCTTCCAATAAATCAGTTAGGTGAGTATTCTAGAAAGAAAATGAGGAAGAGTTGAGTATCATCAGTGCATTATTTTTGGAATATTACAGTCTAATTTTTCTGTGAAAATAAGAGGTCTGTATGCACCAATTATAAATTGGGCAAGACAAATCTACTGTGTTGCATCTCGCATTGAATAGAATTGTTTGTGATTTTTCTTCATTGCAACGCTACAAATTGTGTTACCTTTGTGCAACACTTTGCTGTTCTATCCTATCTGAAGTTCAGAAACAAGATCCCCTCCTATCACCTAGAAGAGTGTTAGGAACAGTTGCGCATGTAAACTTGTCCTGCACTGCAGCTGCCAGCATGTGTTGCTGCTCTTAACACTTATACGGTTAGTAACAGGAGCTTGGATCTGTCAAAGATTGTATAGTCTTAATACATTACAATGGGAATTCCTGGTAGCATTCTCTGATGGCAGAGAAACAAATACCATTGTATTTAGCAAAACATAACTTGCTGCCAGCTCTTAATCCCAGATTGCAATCTATGTGGGATCACAATCTCAATGAGGTTTTATTTGAGGGCTGTTTCCTTAAGCTAGATCCAAGATGTTATGGCTTTGTGCAAGGGGAGGTGATGGCCTAGTGGTATTATCGCTGGACTGTTAATCCAGAGACCCAGATAATGTTCTGGGGACCGGGTTCGAATCCCACCACGGCAGATGGTAGAATTTGAATTCAATAAAATATCTGGAATTAAAGATCTAATGATGACCATCTGGTTCACTAATGTCCTTTAGGGAAGGAAATCTGCCCTCCTTACCTGGTCTGGCCTACATTTGACTCCAGACCTACAGCAATGTGGTGGTCTCTTAACTGCTCTCTGGGCAATTAGGGATGGCCATAACTGCTACCTAGCCAGTGATGCCCTCATCCTGTAAATGAATAAAGAAAAAATAAGGGGTTTCTACGCAGTCTGAATGGCTTCCTTTGTGGATAAGGGGACTCTTAATTCCAGAATAATCATTTCATTTTTCATGTTGAGTAGTTGATTTTTCTTCAGAATTATTTTGACTGAAATATTTAATTGTTTTAACAAGTGCCCTACAAGTACAATAAGCAATTCTCCATATTTGAAGTTCAGAATTTTACTTAACTGAAATATCCTAACACTTCTCTTCACCGTTTACTGAACTGCCAGAAGTCTGTTTTACACAGGAAACATTTGCTAAATAATAGACAAACTGAATACAAAATGTTACACTTGATTAAGGATTTCACAGACCTAAAAATATGCAATTCGTATTTCTATTAATGAAAGGACTGAAATGTTAGAACTGAAGAATCTTATTTGACTCACAGTGCTAGCTCTTATTCTCTCCTCAGTTTCAGGCAGTTTCTTTTTTCATTTAATATTTCCAGTGTTTTGCTTCTATCATAGTTGTTTAATGCTGGCACTTGGCATTAAGACTTCAAATTCGCTTGTTCAGGAAGTCTTGTCTCCAATTCTTGTGCCACCAACAAACAGCCTTCAAAAAAAGTCATGAGTTTAATTTTAGACAAATGTCATCGTCCCTACCTATGAATCTCACTTACAATCCTGAGGGCTATCCCACATAAATTTAACACTGCATCCAACATGAATTCTTTTAAAGGCGTACTTCTGCCATTTTGTTGGAAGAGAGCTGCTGGCCAGTCATTTGGCTAGCAGCTCACTAGTCCCAGAAACTCCATGCAGTAAAGATGGCCAGTACTGGTCAGCCAGTCCTTATAAACAGGAGCCCAGATTTGGATGTCAGAGTATCACTGGAAAGGAGTGATATGGTGCCTGGTTTGAAAGGTCAGGGGGAGGGTCAAAAGGGATGGACTTTGGGTGCCAACTGTCTGAAACCAGCGTGTGCAACAAAAGCTAAAGATTGATTTGATGAGTCAAAGTCAGCTAAAGCTGTAGCCATTCCATGTGATGTCGGCTTCGTCGTGGATCAAATGGTGGGGCACATGACTGTCAGTGGGACTGAGGCAGGCTTGTTCCTCTGCATCTCCTGTAGTATTTCAGATAGGTTGAGGGCAGGTAGGATTTTCCAATCCATCTCTACCTCCGATTTGCCAGTGGGTTAGCATGAAACCAGCCTCATGTTTTAGATAAATAGAAATTTGCAGCATTTGTGCAAAAAGATTCCAGATTTCAGTGTTAATAAACATAAATATCAAGGAAGAGAGTAAAAATACTAAAATTTTGTAATATAATTATTTTAGGGTGATATTTTTACTTAGAATGTGGCAGGTCTTTTTTAAAAAAATTCCTTTCTAGTGGTAGGAATACAGGATTTTTTCTACATGAGAAAATACCAATTTCAATCCAGTTTGTCTTCTGCCACCCAGGTGGTCTCATGATATTATGATGTGATTTTTGACTAATCATTGCAATCTCTAACAATTAACCTCAAACAGACTCAGACATGAGGTGAGACATGCTGGTAGGAACCTTGGTTGCCAAATCACTGGATGCTTTCAAACATGCACACTTGCTATACTTCATGTCTGAAACTACTTAAAATTATATCTTAAATCCTAATGAGCTTTTCCATAAATCGAACACATTATAAATAATGTTTGTTTAAACTTACCACCTTTGGGTTCTACTATATTAGACAAGGTAAGGTAGTTTTTCATGATCACTATTATCTAGTTCCTTTTAGAATCCCAAAATTAACATTTTTAAATGGAGTTTAAGTTTGCAAAAAATGTTTAATTTGTACGTCTTCGTCAGCTATTGTGTTCATTTGTAATGTGTACGTATACAAATGTATACAGTGTTTTGCTTAGGATGAAGAGTTTTTTTTTCCCCACTTTACAGGCCAACTTCTTTAGAAATGGATGGTATTCCCAATTGTCCACCACAGAATATCAGTAACCCTCCTGATATGTCTGGATGGAATCCATTTGGAGAAGACAACTTCTCAAATTTAACTGAGGAAGAGCTGCTTGATAGGCAATTTGACCAGCTCAGATCATATATGAGTGGTAATGGTTTCTTTTATTTGCTTTCCTTCCACCCACAATAAAAATATTGCAAGAACAAAATTTAGCGTAAATATGTAACAGAGAAAATGTTTGCATCGTTTTCTTTTAACTATGCTTGAGGTGACTCATAAGTAATTCATAAACAAAATCCTCTTGTAGTCTTGACACAAAGTACCTTGCTAACATACACTAGTGTATTTATTTGCAGAAGATACATCACATTCTAATCAATTAATTTGACACTTACTCTCTCAACTTCAGTCAGTAATAATACTATAATTTCAAAGGAGAACTTTAACTGCACTAGCAGCACCACAGTGAAAAGTTGGGACAAATTTGTTAAGACTCAATAACCTTCAAACGCTAATTTTACACAATATTGACCAAATAGTACAACCTAATTTATTTGATCTCTGCATCCTCTGCACATCTCTTCGTTGTTACTGAGTTGTAAGTCCACCAGTCATTTAAAGGTCCTTTTTCCCAGCCTTCAGAGAAATCTTGAACAAAATTCCAGCAAAACTGCTCATGTCAATGATTTCTCCCACACAAATACACCAAGATGAAGGATGAATCTACCATTGTATTTAAATTTCCAAAGATTCACTCTTTTCAACCAAAGCGTACCTACTCTCCTATATTGTCTGCTGTCCAAAAGACTAAACAGCCTTTTCACTTTGTTTTGCTGCCTGTCACTCCATCTCTCTCTCTCTCTCTCTCACTCAGCAAAAGCTTTGTTCAGTGTTTTTCTTGGAAGAGCAGCGACTTTCTTAATTTTAAATTTTAATTTATGTTCAACACAAGTTCTTCCTCTTGGCTTGTTGGTATCAGTATTATTTACAAAAGTGTTATTTAGTTTCAAAGCACTGCTTTCCTTTGTTCTGTCGTCAGCTTTCAGTGCCATTGTTGGCTGTTTTGACATCTTTTGCTTTGGGCCTGTCTGCAGATTAAAAGCGAGCTGTTTCAATTCATGTCCAGCTGCTATTAATATTTTTTTCCAATCTGATATGTTTTAATGTCCCTTTAACCTCTGCAGTCTTGACTCTTTGGACCCATCTCTAATTGAAACTGTAACTTACACAGAAGGATTACACAGTACTAGAATTCCCCTGTGCATTTTGAATTTTATCAACTTCACATTTCTAGCAATACTGGAGATGGCAAATATTATCTCCAGTAAGATCACTTTCTTCCTCCATGATAGGGAATTTTGAAAGTTTTCCCACAGCAATGATACTTGAAATTAAATGACATTTTAAATGAACGTCTTGCATTAAATAACCAACGTTAACTAATGCCCTTAATTCATTGACTTCAAGATATCAAAATAACTATCTTTCAATTTGGATGACCCTTCAGTTCCCATTGACCTTGAGACTAGTCCCAGTTGCATTAAGATGTAACCCTTTTTGTCTTTTCTTAGACTGCCTGGTAGTCACTCATTCCCTCTCTGCCTCTAATCTGCAGTGTCACATTATTCTTCTCTGTTTACAATTTACAGCATCTCCACATTTCATCTTTAAATTTTGAAATTATACTAAGCACACTGACTTTAGGTCATTAGAATATATCAAAAGAAATCATAGTGCATGCTTCTACTACTATGCTTTCCCACTGTAAAACATCCTCTAGTCTGATGATGAACCTTCACTCTGAGAATTTCCTATCACTTAGCCAACAAATATCCATATAACCACTGTATCTTTAATGTCATAGGTTTTCCAGCAGATTTGAAATCCATCAAGTTCTATATTTAAGAGATATGGAACATTATGGCTTGTACTTACGCAGTTTCCATCTGTACTACTTCCAGCATGTCTGGGTTCAGTCTTGATAGTATATCAACTTTAACCAAACCGCCTTTCAGATACCTCCTTTTCATCAGTTTTTTGTCCATCTGGTATCTCAACTATCTTTTACTATGATCTTGGCAGTACCTTTCTTGACAAAGACAGGTGTATTCTTTCATATCTCTAGTTTGCTTCTTTTTATCATTCCCACTAATTGCTGACTTGTATTACTGGGCATATTCTGTAGCATCTCCATTTCTTGACATTTAATGAAAGATTGTTGATCCTTCATGACACACCTTTTCTCTCCAACACCAATATTTTGTTTAATACGACCTTGCTTTCTCTTTCCTTCCTTCTCTATCTTCCTGAACACCTTGTATCCAGGAATATTTAGACCCTGTCCTACCCTTTTTTGAACCAGTTTTGTTATTGCCAAGGTTATTGAGGTTGTTGACTTGCTTGCTGAGCTGGCTTGTTTTTGTTCAGACGATTCATCACCATGCTGGCTAACATCATCAGTGGAGCCTCTGATTAAGTGATGTTATTCTACACCGCTTGGAATTATATCCGTTATTGTGAGTACTGTCATTTCCGGTTTTGATCCGAATGGGTTTATATATGGGATCCAATTCTATATGTTTGTTGATTGAAGTATGGGTGGAGAATTACGCCTCTAATAATTCCTGTGCGTGTCTGTGTTTGGCTTGGGCCAAATTACTCCAGAATTACGCTTGGAAGAAGAAGAACACTTAAACAAGATCCTCGCCTTAAACAGATAACCCCGCAACTTCATCCACAGATGACTCAAACTGACCATGCTTCCCTACATCAATAACATATTGGAACTGACAACAAGACTCCTAAGACCACTAGGAACCATGGTGGCCCACAAGCCAACAGCCACTCTATGAACAAACACTTGCAAGGATTAAAGACCCCATTCCCAAAACATACAGAACGAATGTGGTTTACAAAATACCATGCAACGACTGCCGCAAACATTACATCGGACAGACAGGAAGGAAACTAGCCATCAGAATACGTGAACATCAGCTTGCATCAAAACGGCATGATGAACTCTCCTTAATATCTGTACATCCAGACAATGAAGGCCACCAGTTTAACTGGGACAGAGTAACCACAGTAGCCCAAGCCAAACACAGACACGGATGGGAATTCCTAGAGACGACGTTCTCCACCCATACTTCAATTAACAAACATATAGAATTGGATCCCATATATAAACCCATACAGATCAAAGCCGGAAATAACAGTACTCATGATAACTGACCAGACAGTATAAATTCCAAGTGGAGTAGAATAACATCGCTTCATCAGAGGCTCCACTGATGATGTCACCTAGCATGTTGACGAAACGTCTCAACAAAAACAAGCCAGCTCGGCGAGCAAGACAACGCCTTCATCCACAACCCGAGCTACAGATTTTTGCCAGTACTTTAAGCCGAGGTTATTGTAGTCCATGTGGCTGTTATACCTTCAGTTTATCAATCTCTGTTACTATTCTTCATGCCCTTACTCAGCTGCATTGTTATCTAATTTAAATCACCTCATAATGACCCTTGGTATGACCCTGCTTCCTACAACAACAGTAACTTGAACTTGTGTAGCACCTTTAAATGAAACACCCTAAGTGCTTCTTGGGAGGATTTTGAAACAAAATACCTTACTATTTCTTACTATCTGCCTCACCCAATTTCTGTGTACCATGTTTTTCCTTTGAATGCTACATTCTGTTTCCCAGGCAAGGGATTACATGTTGATGGGTAGGACCCTAGGAGGTACAATTGGTCAGTGGGACCTTGGTGTGCATGTCCATAAATCTTTAAAGGCAGTAAGATATCTACATAAGGTAGATCACATGTGTGATACTCGCCTTTATTAGTCAAGGTATTGAAAACAAGAGCAAGGAGCTTATGCTAGAGCTGCATATAACTTTAGTTTGGCACAGCTAGAGCACTGAGCATAGTTCTGGTTGTCACACTGTACAAAGGATGTTATTACACTGAGAGGGTGCAGAGGAGATTCAGATTGGTTGGAGTGATTCAGTTATGAAGAGAGACTAGATAGGTTGGGTATGTTTTCCTTTAAAGCAGAGAAGGCTGAGTAGGAACCTGATTGAGGTGTACCAGGTTCTGATGGGAGTAGATAGCGAGAGTTCTAAGGTATGGAGCAGGCGTTTTAGGGGAATTTGAAGAAAACACAATGAATTTGAGGGGGGCAATTGTCTGGAATTTACTGCCTAAAAGGGTGTTAGAGGAAGGAAACCTCAAAAGATTTAAGTAATACGTAGATGAGCAGTTGATATGCTAATATGATACAAAGCTATAGGCCAAATGATGAGAAA